TCCAGCTACATAAAAAGTTTAAGTTGTTTTGTGGTCAAAACTATCACAAATAAAATTACAAGGCAAGCTGGAAATTCTGAAGAAAATGCAACAGTCTTAATGTCCTTAATATAGACAGAATTTTTACAAATCAATGCATTCATCTTCTAATCATCAAAAATGTCTTCAGCAACTACTGTTAGCCAGGTTAGATGACAGGGCTATAGAAGTAAATGAAGCAGCCACACTTAGGGAACTTGCAGTCTCATGGGGGAGATAGACAATAAATAAGTAAAAACATATAACACAGTATATGGTGATAAGTGCTATAGAGAAAAATGAATTGAGAAGTGTGGTACAGGCTTGCGGGAGGAAAGAGACTGCAGTTTGTAATCAATAGAAGGTTTCTCTGGGATGGTGGCATGTGAGCAAAGACCTGCAGGAGGTGAGAAAAGCCACTGGATTGTCTGTGTCTTGGGCAGAGCGAATGTCAGGGAGGCAGGAGCATGCCTGGTTTGTTCCAGGAGAAGCAAGGAGGCCAGCCAGTGAGGCCAGAGGGGAGAGAGAGTAAGAGGGGAAGTAGCAGGAGACAGAGTCAGAGGAGTAGCAGGGTAGGATCTAGATCATATACGGTCTTCCCAACTATTATGAGAACTTTGGCTTTCACTATGCAGAAACAGGGAAGCCACTAAAAGACTTTATGCAGTGAAATAATATAATCTGAATTATGTTCCATCAAGAGCATGGTTGTGGTTTAAAAAGAGGATTTAAGTTAGAAGGCTATTGCCAAGACTGTAGTAGACACAGGGGTGTTTTGTTTTGCAAAGGTGGGCAGTGGGGAGATGGTGAGGATCAGTAGCTTGCGTTTAAGCATGTTAATTTTGAGATGCCCAATAGACATCCAAGTGTAGTTGTCAACAGCCGGTTGGACATCCAAGTCTGTGGTTCTGGGCAGAGGTCTGGGCTGGAGTTCTAACTATGCGAGTTGTAGACAGAAAGACGGTATTTATAGCCAAGAGACAGAATGAGATCAAGTAAGACAGTGAGTGTTGACAGAAAGGGGAAGACATGTAAGAAAGAAACCTGGAGTCACTCCAATGTTAAAGATTTGGGCCATGAGGAAGAATCAGCAACGGAGACTGAGAAGTAGGGGCCAGAAAGGTAGGAGAAAAAACAGGTTCAGGCTTGAGAAGTGGAGCAAAGAGAGAGTCAACTGTGTCAAGTGCAGATAGTAAGAAAATCAGGTGAGGACTGAAAACTGACTGCATCTGATGATCTTGTTTAGCCAATTAGTTGTTCCTTCATCTCTCAGCTGAGAGATCTCACCCAAACTTATTTTTTGCACCACTCCCCAGCGTACATATCCACTTCTTTGCTTCTTCTGACAGAAATCATGCAAGCATTCACCACCTGTTTCCTGGATCAAAGCAACAAGAGACCCAAATGCCAGTCGACTAATGCAGAAACCTCACAAAGGGAGAGGAATTAGAAGGAAAGCAAAGGCTGTGAATTTTGATAACTATATATTTTTTAAAATATTTTTGTGTTTGTTGACTAAAAATAATCGTTCAAATGCACCAGCTATCAAAGAAATACAGATTAAAAATAAACTGGCCACCATTTTTTTTGCAAATCAAATTGGCATTTTAAAAAGCATATCCCGTATGGGCAAGACTTAGCAGACATTCCCAAATACCACTGGTGGAAGTGTTAATTGGTAAAACTTTTCTAGAGGGCAATTTGGCAATATATAAGAATAATTTTTTATAAGTTCCTTCTTCACATTTTTTGGTCCAGTAATTCTGCTTTTAGCAATTTATCATATGGAAATAATCAGAATGTACACCAAAATTTATATGAAAGGATGTTCACTTTAGTGTTGTGTCTTATAGAATTTAGGATATATAATTCTATAGGATTCTATATTCTTATAGAATATTGAAACCTTGGTGTGGTTTGTTATAGAATCTATAGGACTAAAATGGCAATTAAAATAATTTAATATTCAACATTGAAAACTGAGTTAATAAATTATGAGTCACAAAAGAAATACTCTTCAGTCAAATGTATGTAGATGATGTGAGAACATGTCAACAAAGTATTGTGAAAGTAAAAAAAACAAAAAACAAGCTATAAAATGGTACTTTTGATTCTGTTTTTGTAAAGAAAGGATAGAAAAACTGGAACTATATCACCTAAAATCTTAATAATTATTTTCATGCATGTTTGGGCATAGTGAAGTTTTTATTCATTCAGAAACATTTACTGAGAGCCTACCCTGTGGTGCGCAGTGTTCTGGGTGCTTGGGATACATCCAGTGGAAACTGACAGCATTGCTGACCTTCCAGTGCTTACATTTTATCAAGAGGGATACAGACCATAGATAATAATAGGAACAGGTTATATATCTTTTAGGATGCTGTAAGTGTTAGAGAAAAAACATAGAATTGAAAAAGAAGGGTTGGGCATGGCATGGGTGCAACTGAAAATAGGATGGTCAGGGTAAATCTCATTGAGAAGGTAGCATTTGACAAAGACTTTATGGAGTTAAAGGAATTGACCATGTGAACATTGAGGAAAAAGTATTCAAAGGGGGAAAAAAACCCAAAAAACCCTGCAAACGCAAAGGCCCTAACTTAGGAGCATGCCTGATGTGTCTGAGAATCAGCACACAGGCCTGTGAAGCAGGACCCAAATGAACACGGGAGTAGGAAATGAGGCTAGAGAGTAACTGGGAGCCAGACTATGCAGAAGCTCCTGCGAGGCTTTGGCTCTGTTGAGAACAGACAGGTAAGAAGCTATTGCAGTAATCTAGATGAGAGACGATGGTGTTGAGAAAAAGAGGAAACAGTGATTATAATAAAAATTGGTGTGATTCTGGATAGATTTTGAAAGTAGAACAAATATAATTACTTGATGGTTTGGATTCAGGAGATAAAGAAAGAGAGGCCTTCAAAGTTCTTGGCTTGAATGATGGAGAGGATAAAGTTATCAACTGAGACAGAAAAACTACCAGTACAGCAGGTTTTGGGTAGAAATTGGGAGATCAGAAGTTGAATTTTGCACATGATAAATTTCTGCAAGGAGGGAACATCCAGGAGGAAGTTTACTAGGAAAACATCATGTTTGGAGGATACGTCTACACTGGAGAGGGACACTTGGGAACCATTAGCCTATGGATGGTATTTGTAGTTATGAGAATGGGTGAGCTCACCAAGGGAGCCTGCACAGAGAAGAGGTCCAAACACTGCATCCTGGGACACTTCAAAACCAGGGGCTTATGAAGACAAGTAATAATGATAGCTGGTTGAGAAAGTGTCAGCAAGGGAGGAGAAAAATCAAAAGATCATGAAGCAAAAAGAGTGTTTCAAATGATGCCAGTAAATTAGATAAGTTGAGAAGTGAGAGTTGATCACTGGCATTAGCAATGTGGAGGTCAGGGCACTGCTGACCTCAAAAAGAGTGGTTTTGGAGAAATGGCTCCAATGAGAAATAGAAGGGGGGAGTTGGACACTGAGTATAGACAACCCTTCGGAGGAATTTTGCTGAAAGGGGCTTAGAGAGTTGGCCATGGCTGACTGGGAAAGCGACATCTAGAGAAGATGATGTTTTCATTTTTTGTTTCTGTTTTTCATTTTTAGATGCAACAAATAGCAGCATGTTGGTACGTGGTGGAAAACTGAGCCAAACCACTGTGATCATTAATATCCTCAAGTTAGTAAGATGGCAGCAGATGGTATGCTTGGAAGGTCACACAAGGACTGCCTGGACGACAAACCTCTAGTTCATTGGTCTGGTCTATTCTGCTGCTTAAAATTCATAACCCTTTCATCTCTGCATTTCCTCAGGAAGTTATAATAAAAATGTAATCATTTAGGGTCAGCATAATCTCACAGAGCAATGATCATTAAGGTAAAAGCTCCCCCACCATTCCCCTGCCCCACCCGACACGTATATACACCAAGAAGCCATTCGCCCCCATGGGAAAGCTTGTGGCTTAGAATCTCAGAATTGCAGATTTGACAAAACCACAAAATGCTCTGAATCTGTGCTAGGAAAGCCTATTTTGCCAAAAAAATGGAAAGAAAAATTAGCCATTTGACCCTACTCCTCAAAGAGCTTAGTAGCCCTGGAAACCAAAGTACTTCCTATTTGCTGCCCCTTCTCTAGGATTACAAAGAGAAAAACCCAGAAATCAACTTTGGACCTCTTTGTATTATAAGGCCCTGTATACCTCAGACCAAAGTCAAACCTTAAATTTGAGGATCCTGAACCTCCTGCAGGACATGCCTGTGCTCCCACACATGTAACATTCCAACACAGATGATATCTGTTCTCTTTCTCCCTCCCATGCTCCTTCCTTCCTTCTTGTAAAAACTAGTTCTCAGAAAGGAATCCCAGAAGCAATGGTGGTTTAAAACTGGCAGGAGCTTTTGTATCAGTTCCCATTTTACACATAAAGAAACTCAATCTCAGAGGGGTGAAGTGGGCCCAAAAGCCAACTGTCAATTAAAACTCCATAAAGGTTTGATCAACTCATTTATCAGGTGTACTGATTGACATGTTCTCTGTCAAAGTCAAGTCCTAACAGAAACCATAGCCAAGAATCAAAGAAGTGGATGGTGAAAAATGGGAAGAGAACGGCAGCAGGCAGGGCAGGATGTTGTTTTAGCAGTAGGAGAGCTTTTTGGATGTTTGATATTGCATGAACAGCTCCTTGATTCACCTGTCTCTGATTTATGAGTTGTGGTCTCAACTGGTGGCGATCCTGAAAGGGGACATTTGGCAATGTCTGGAGGGCATTTGTGGTTGTCACAACTCTGGGGGGAAGATGTGACTAACATCTAGTAGGTAGAGACCAGGGATGCCGCTAAACATTCTACAGTGTACAGGATAGGTGCCTCACTGCCGCCGCCCCACCTCCCCCTACCCAACAACACACATATGACCCCAAATAACAATAGTTTTAAAAACTCTGGTTTCCTTTGAAGGGAAAGGAAGGAAGGAAAAAAGAACATTACCAAAAATTGGCTCTGGAGAAGTGTTCCACATAGAGCTGTTCATCAGAAAAAGGGGCCAAGTGGATGTCGCTGAATGTCGGGAGCATCATTCCTGATGAGCAAAACACAAGAGACCCAGAAGTCAGCTTCTGTCGCTTTCTGATTGAAGGCTGTACTCATCTGCCACCTGAGACCAATTCCATTCTTTTGCTTCAGTTATGACATGACAGGACAAAATATAATTTTGTCTCAATGCAAGTATACAAAATTAGGCAGAAGAGTAGAGGGGCTATAGAAAAGAGTATCAAAGCAAGTCACAAAGCAATACAATGATAAAAGCTTGCAGAGACTTAGGCAAGCCTTTGAACCTGGCAGTTGCCTTCTCAGTTACTGGCTTTTTTTCCCCTTTCTGTTTGTCCTATGAATTCTGGATTTATTTATTTAATTTATTTATTCTCTTATTTATTGTAACAATAATTTAGCTTTAAAAATAATCAAAATCCCATCCTCCCATCACATTATTATTCTCATTCTCAGACTTTGTCCATGTAGAATCAGATCGACCACCTGTCTTCTTAGGTGCTTTTGGGATTTATGTTTATATGGATGCTCGCCAATCTTCATGCTGAGAAATACACATTTGTGCTATTTCTTGGCATCCATAATCACTACAGGAAAGGTAGATTCTTCAGTGGGCAAATGAGCACCTAGATTGGCATGCCTGAAGTTGGGCCTTTCTGAGTAGGCAGACCTGATGATCAGCATTGTTACTCTTGCAATTTTAGGGAAAATCTTTTTATAGCCATTTATTAAATTGCACATGAAAGAAAGAGGAACTATTAACTATATTTCAGAAATAAGGCTGACTTAAGACACCAGAGACGCTGTCATAAAAACAACAAAAATAGCTAAAATTTCTCAGTTATGATGACCCTCTCATGTACTTTTCCAAGGGTTTCCCATGCATTAATTTATATAATTCTCATACCAAGATAAAGTGGGTTCTATTATTATGTCCATTTTATAAACAGGAAAACAGAGAAATTTAAGTTACTTGGTATCATAGAGTTAACAAATAGCAGAGCAAAATCCAGGGAGTGGAATCTCATCTGATAATCAGTGCCCCATCCTTAAACTATGTGGTTTTTCATATCTGTTAAAACAGGTTATTTTATTTGGGGGTATTTTCAGAAGTGGTCAGGGGCAAAGCATGATCATAACCTCATTCATATGTCCCCATCTAAATCTCAGGCATTGGTATCAAAACAATAATGATTGCTTGATGGTTTTTCAATTTCGAGACGATAGAAGGATATTAAATAACCTCAGAGAAGTAATATGTATCACTGCTTGTGTAAACTTGGGAAGATTAGAGGATGATGTTATGAGCCTCAATCTAATAGGAATTCCAAGAATGTCAGATAAAATGGAGGGGAGAAAATCAAATGTAAAATATTTTGAAAATTCCAAGAACAGAAGAAAATCAGCCTCCTGATTAAACATATTCACTGAATTTCCAGCACAGGAACTTAAAAAAGATTCTCACTAGAACACTAGAAATAAAAAGAAGATACTAAAAGCATCTAGAGGGGAAAACTTTGTTACTCTAAAGGAGCAGGAGTCAGAATGGCATTGACTTCTCAATAGCAAGATTTGCAGACAGAAACCAAACACAAAAACCAAAACACAAGCTTTAAAAATATTGATTAAAAATTGTTTTTAAGTAAAATTCTTGACCAAATAATAGCACAAGGACTTGATAAAAAGTAACTCCTCAAGCTCCTTTTCTGCAGAAGCTGGTAGAGAATATCCTTTGCTGAAATGATGTCGTAAACCAACAAAGAGGAAGACAAAAGGATGATGATGGAAAGTCAAAGTGTTGCTGTCATGCAATGGGGCTGCAGAACACTCAGTTCATGTTGCTAGAGAAGGCCAGAGGACTACTGAATAGAGGGGAGCAACAGAGGAACACATATTGATGGCATCTGTCAGATCTATTGGAGCGTAGAAACACTTAACCATGAATATATAAAAGCTAAGCTAATAAAAGAAACCAAGACAATTAACTCCAGGAAAAACAAAAGATTATATGAGAAAACATACATAAGTATACAGAATCTACTCTACCATCTGACTCAGTATTCAACAATAGTTACATTACATCATAACACTGTAAACGCTGATTCTTGATTTAACCGAATAATGATCTAGGCCTATATTTCTTTATGCTAAATTCTGAGATCTGAAAAGCAACAGATTTTTATAAGTTTGCGGCAGCATCATTTGATGGCAAAACCTGACCTGAACTAACACGAGAGTTTATTTGTAGTCTTCATTTATTCTTGGTATCAATATTCTTATGTTTTGTTGCAGGAATATAATGTGTTTCATTACAGAGTGTTGCCTCAGATCCCACTGGGAGAATTAAGTAGTACATGGTATGTGATCATATTAACTTTCAAAAGTCCTTCAGATGCTGAATTCTGAAACATATCTGGCCCTAAGGGTTGGGATAAAGGAACTGAGGACCTATCTAAATACATTGAGAGGATGGGGGTGGGGTAGGTGCATCAGGAAGGAAGGAGCTGCTATTCAGGAAAGCTGAATTCTCAAGCAGAGAGTGACGAGAATAGCAATGTAATCATCTTAGATAGGAATATGTAGGTAAATAATAGAAGAAACAACAGATAGAGTTGAAAGCAGTTGCCTTTGGGGAGCAGTCTGACGATAGAAAGAGGTGTGGCAGAAGACTACTATTTTTCATTATAAGCCTTTTTATTATTAATTGATGTTTTAAACTATGTCTTATTATGATGGAGTATATAAATAATTAGAAAAAAAAATCAATCACCCTTCCCTGAGGAAGACATAACCTAGAAAGCCAATAAAATCAGTATTCATTTCTACTTGCCTAGTTAAAGATATATAGCCCAGTATAAAATGTGATATTCATTTCAAATATCCAGGGAAGATACCTAGATACTATCTAAATACTGAGCTTAAGAGGGGCTCAGGTGATACATGTTAATTAACTACATTATAAATCTCATCATATAGAAGCACCTAACCATCTGAAAAAGTCCAGGAAAAAACCATACAAATTCTTCCTGGGGGCATTGAGGAGGAAATCCAAGCCACTTTGTACCTTCACTTTCATCTCCCACAGTTCAATTTTATCGCATACACACAAGGCTTCCAAGAGCATCCTGAGCTGTTTTACAGCAAGATTGCTAATGAAGTTCTTGACATCAGGTATACTTTGCCTGAGCTTATTTATTTATTTATACATGAATTTTCTTTCAGTGCCTATTTCTGAATTTTGAAGCATGTAGGAAATTATAAACTTCAAACTTCACTTAAATGCATGTTGGTACGTATGAGTTGCACAGTCGTTCACTATTTTGTTTTCATTGAATAGCAAGATAGGGAGCTACAACATTGGTAATTTAGATAAATACAATTGGGGTAAGGAGTTGAAATTCTCATAAGATGCAACTTAAAATTGGCCAGTTAGCCCCGATGTCTTAATTGAAAACACCGGCTGTTGGAATGCATCTACTTTCTCTGGTGAAGAGTGGAAAGCCAGTGTGTGTGCCAAAGTCATGAGTGTAGGCTTCAGGGTCAGATGGATGTAGGCTCAAATTCTTGGCCTGTCAATTGTTAGATGTCTGTTCTTGCCAAGTTACTTTTCCTCATTGAGTCTCAGTTTTCTCTTTATAAAATGGGATCATAACAATGCCCTCCGCTAACCCAGGTCTCAATCATATACTATTGACATTTTGGGCTGATAATTCTTTGATGCAGGGGACTGTCCTGTGCATCAAAGGATGCTTCACAGCATCTTTGCCCCTATTCACTAGATGCCAATACCCCAGCCCCTGCTGCCATTGTGACAACCAAAGTGTCTCCAGACATTGTCAAATGTCCCTGGGGAAGGTTGCAAAATTAGCTTCGAGGCTAACCCCCCGAATAAATTGAAAACCTTCATCATTCAGACTTTATAAGGATTTTATAAAATAATTTATTCAAATTGGCACTTGGAAAGCACAAAAAGCATATTGGATTTAATATTACCTTGACTATGTGTAGTGATCATAGACAGAGAGAGAAATACAGTAGGGAAAAAAACATGTCAAAAAGAACAAGCAGACCCCAGAGAGTTCCTCACATTATAGAAGGCCAACACTTGAAAGGATATCAGAGATTATGTGTAATAATATCATTTTACAGATGAGGAAACCAAAGCCAAATGGTCAAGTGTTAGCCCAGGTTCATTAAGGAACGAAGGGATTGAACTAGGACAAAAAATGCAAAACTCAGACCTGGCTCTCTATACCACGTTGAATACTGTGAAGCATACCTGTGTTCTTATGATTGGAGACTAGTTAATTTGTTATGGAAAAGTGAGATGAGAAAAACAAATAATTGAGTATAATAGAAATGCTTTTACAGAGAAGTCAGACTGTTTTTTTAACCAAGAATGGGCCAACTTACCATTTGATTTTAGCCATTTTTTGGAATGAAGATAACTCTCTAGCATCCGTTCATTGAACAGCATGTATCCCATTGGTTCGGAAATGATCACATCTACAGCCTCAGGAAGTGAGATGTCTTCAATTTTTCCTGGCAAAACAATGATCTTGCCTGAAAGGTGATTGTTTTTCACTAGCATCTGAAAAAGATAAAATGGGGTGCCAGAACTGTTGTTATTCAGGATCTTATTAAAAATGAGTTTTATCGATTAAGGGCTGAGAATGTGACAGGAAGGAGAAAGAAGTAACATTTGTTTCTAGAAACACTTTTAAAGAAAAATAACTCATTTGTCTCACTACACAAAAATTGCATGTTTAATATATATAATTTTGGAAAAGATACAGATATAAAACAAATAAAACACCTACAATCCTAATAATAACTATTAATATTTTGATGCATTCTCTTCTAGACTCTACACAAACATACACATATATGTGTATGTATGCCAGTATGTGTGGTCTGTGTATGTGTGTGTGTGTATATATACATATTTATATTTATATATTTATATATATTTATACATTTACATATTTATATATATATATATAGGGGGATTTTTTAAAATTCATGGCTTCAGTTTATTTCCTATTGTTCTACTTGCAATAGAGATGCCAAACACCTCCGTACAATGATCTTCCACAGATTAATAATCTTTTTTGTTTTGCTTAGTTTTGAGATAGGGTCTCAGTTTGTAGCCCAGAGTGGAGTGCAGTGGTGTGATCATGGCTCAATGCAGCCTCGACCTCCTGGGCTCGAGTGATCCTGCCACCTCAGCCTCCCAAAGTGCTAGGATTACAGATGTGAGCCACTGCACACAGGCCAATGATCTTGATCCTTATTAAATTTTTCCTTGGTCTTTTGATGTCAAAAATAAATACCATGATTATTGACCTTTCTTTAGGTGTATGTTTTTACAGTCATGTATTAATTTTCTTTGATGTCCTTTATATTTTATTTAATAAACTTAAACTCTTTCAAAAGAGGCACCCTGAAGAGAAATACACTTACTATGTTTCTAATGTATTTCTTCTGAATGCCAAATATGACAAGGTGATTGAATTATTATGTCTTCTACTGCCTGAAAACATATTTTCTAATAAACATTTTATATTTGCCAGCATAAATATATACAGCACATTCCTTTTCAAGTTGTTCCTCTCTGAGACTTGTAGATTTTTCCTCATTGTATGTACAGCCTGTCAGAGCCCTTCCATTTTGTATTTTTGTAGCTTAATCCCTTTGCCCATCCTAAGTGCAATGTACTATGCACTTGTTATAATTCAGTGGCACCTTCTTAATTTCTGATCACTTCTTCAAATGGCTAGGATACCTTTCACATTAATCCTGTCTTCTAGGGTGCTGCTCACCAACACATGCTCTGTGAGCATACAAAATGTCTTTGTTTGTTAAAATCAAGTAATCTCTAATCTATGGAGGAATAATAAAGAAAACTGTTTGAACATGTCATACATTGTCAATATTCATCCATTGCCAATGACTCTATCATCATTCCACACATAGAAGTCAAGTCCCTGGGAGTTCTGCAGAGACAATGACTAAAGGTTCGACCTTTTGGTGTCCTGCTTTTCTCTCTACATTCTTGCCAGGAGAATCAATTCTCCTGCACAGCTTTGACTGTGGCTCCATTGTGAATGACTATCCAAACTACATCTTTGGTTTCGTCCTCTCAGCTGAGTTTCAACAATAACTTGGACATTTTCACCAGTGAATTTCGCACCTCCTAAATAATAAGTAAATACCAAAACTCAGCTGCTTCTTGAACATTAATCATTCCCTGAGTTTGCCTTTAAAATCTTTGTAAAATATTGCATTTCTATGATTCTGTTTTGGTCATCAATACCACAATCCCCAATGTCCTGGAGGTGTACTTAGTTCCCACAGGTAATTAGTTATTACATTTTCTTATTTCTACCTTTCAGATATATTTTATTTCTGCCTTCTTTTGCCAGCATCAACTTGTCCAGTTCCTACTAGCTTCAAATATGGACTTAAAAATGATATTTATATAATGAAAACAATGATGGCAGTAACTACTTCATAAGTTTGTTTGAGGATCAAACCAAATAAAATATATTAAGAGCTATGTAAGCATTAAAATTATTATATTATTCTTATTAAATAATACTTTGGGCCAGGTGTGGTGGTTCATGCCTGTAATCCCAGCACTTTGGGAGGCTGAGGTGGGCAGATCACTTGAGGTCAGGAGTTTGAGACCAGCCTGGCTAACATGGTAAAACTCGTCTCTACTACAAATACAAAATAAGTTTAAAAAGTTAGTCAGACGTGGTGGAGCATGCCTGTAATTAGCTACTGAGGAGGCTGAGGTGGGAGGATCCCTTGAACTCGGGAGGGAGGTAGTGAGCTGAGACTGTGCCACTGCACTCCAGCCTAGGTGACAGAGTGAGACTCTGTCAAAAAAACAAAACAAAACAAACAACTTTTTACTTAAAAACAGAAATGCAAATAAACAAAAACATAAAAATTACTAGTATTCCAGATATAGGCAAGGTATGTTTTCAATCAGACATTGGAGTATATCTCAAATCTCAATGTAATAATACTTCATAATTTTTTCCCAGCAATATGTTTTAGATCAGTTTTCTGAACACTTTTACATCATGGCACACATTTTTAAAAACCAAGTAATTTTATGGTACACTTGGGTGAAAGAAGAGCCTGCTTGCATTTTGAGACATTTGAGTGGGGACTCTGGCCACACTAGACCCTGACTACCTGCCATGAGTGCAAAGGACATCAAAATCTCAATACCCAGCAAACTGGTTGCGAAGCTCTGTTCTAGACATCTTTCCATGAATGGTTCTATAACATAAATTTATTGGCTATATAGTATTTAATAGATGTGTATTGATTTATTTGATATCTCCTATTATTGGATACTCAGGTTATTTCAAATTTCTATTAAAATAGTATATTGACAAATACTAATGCAATTAAATCTGAAAATACACTTTCTGCTATTTCCTTCAAAGTTAAAGGGTATGAAGCTGGTAAGGGTTTTTGATATACACTGCCCCACTGCTTACCGGAAAGGTGGTCCCTTTTCTACATTTCAAGCCCTCTCTAAATTCTGCTTATGGGGTCTGAGGCTGTCCAGGTAACCTCAGTATATAAAATTGCCTCTTTCCACAGACTCCTCAACTTGCAACAGGATGCTGGAAGGGGAGCTGTTCTCTAAGTGTAGCTGGAGGGCACAATATAGTAAGATACTCAGGTGAATATCTGTGATGTAGGCCTTATATGCAGAATTTAGAGAGGATACCCCTAGACTCTTGAATCTTTAGGGAGAGCAGAGATGTAATAAGGTTTCAGAGAGAGGATTTCATGAGCTGTCAGAAGTACAATTTTGGGTCCACAGGAAATAATTTTAGGTCTCATTATTCTCACTGGCAAAGAAGGACATATCACATGCCTGGAAGGGAGCAAACAGGCCTGCCTTCAGGTCATTGCATCTTGTGACTTAATCTATTTTTGATCAGTTTCACACAAGATCAGGAATCTGAAGATTAAAAATTCTAGTTCTACCTTTATCACCAAAGAGCTATGTGACCTTGGGGAAGTCACTTAAAGTCTCTAAATTTTAGTTTCCCTTCTTGTAAAATTAGGGTTTAAAACTAGAGTTGTTTTGAGGCATCTTCTAGTTTGAATATTTTATGATTAGAAGAAAGCAAAATTTCTTGAAATATGTTCCAGGAGTCCATGAATACAAGGGTTTCATGATCAAATAACTTAGAACTTCTTTGTAATACATATCCCTCTTACAAATACAGAGTGCATTAGCATATTAATAGCTTTGAGGAATTCTACAGAAAAGAAAACTCTTGGCTTGGTTAAATTAAAGACATCCAAACTTATTAGAATGCTTTGCAGGGTTTTTTAACCGCTGGATCTATATGCATCTCCCTAGATCAATCTTTAGGAAACAATGAAAATAATTATTTGATTATCTTAGGTTTGATTGCAATTCCTTGATAAAGATATTGGAAAATAGGACATAAATTCAACCAGCAATCGCTCTAATACAGAAGGGCAGCTAAGTCTAGATGCATGACTGTTCTTTGAGTCAGTCTTGCTGCCTCCCCTCATCTTCAGTTTACAACAGTCTCAGTATAGATTATCTTTGGGTAGCCTGTCATTTCATTGCCATTCTTCTAAAACTGTAACTCAGGAGAGATATCCTTTCCAGGAATAACTGAACTTCACTATGCCCCTCCAAGTGCTAGAAAAGTCCGCTAACACAGGGCAAGGTTCTGCAATCCACCACATTAATTGCTGCACAGGTTTACCCTGTGTGACCTGGTCCTTTTCTAAGAGCTCAGGATGGAGGGATATTCCAAATAAAGGCTCTTCTCAGACATCATCGAGGCCCAAGCAAACCCACATCATATTCTTGTTTTAATCCTGTTCCCTTGTTATTAAATTGGGTTTCTAAAATCTATGTCAATAGTACTATCACTTGTATCAGCTGCTTAAAACACACACATACATGTACACATATGCATACACATATACATACACACTTTAGGTGGTAGCAGCAGAATTCATCCTTTTAGGTACCAGGATAAGTGCCAAGAGAGATCAGGGCAGTAATTCCACCTGGTATGCTGCTGTTCTTGTCTCATTTAGGAGGGTTTTCAATAAGTTACATGTACTGTAGATGTGTTGTTTATTTATTTCTGTTCAGTTTAGAAGCTGAATTAGTCTTAGAGGCTGTACTATACAATATAGCATCTAATTATAGTCTGTCTCAAAGCATGAAAAAAGCAAGCATTTTGGAGGTAAAGGCCTCGGTTGCTAGTTTGGATCCTCCATTTACTAGCTGTGACCTGTGGCCAAGATGCATAATTTCCTGGGAGTCCATTTCTTTACCTATAAAATGGGAATCATAATAGTACCTATTCTTCAGTGTTATTTCAAGGATCAAATCAAATGAGAAAGTACAAAGGAATATATAAGTCAAAGAATACAGATGAAATAAAATAATAATTTAAAGAAAAGATGATAAAGCAATAGAACTCAGATTAAAAGGAAGATTTGACTCAAGGAAACAAATTGAGAAGCAAAGTGACATAATTACAGAATAGCCATCAACCAGGT